TTTTTTAAAAGGATCGTTTTCGTTCTTGCCATGGAGCCTAAAAGAGAAATACACTTGTGCTTTGAAATACTGAAATCCATTGTGGGTCATAATTTCTGAGCTGTTAGCCTTTTTGTGGGATAGTAGGAGACACTTTGCACTTAATTAGGCTCTATATTGACATTTGCCTTAAAATTTTAAGTGGCGGCAAGTTTTCAATGTGTGTATAGATCACTTTCAATAATTACAGTTTGCCAGTCGTAATTTATACAAAATTTGAATTCAGAATCTAGCTTAAAATGTATACAGAATTTAGCTTAAACACACAATTACCACGGTAATTAATAGTTATATTAAAACATGGGTATCAGGATAATCATATACTTTTTCTTAAACATTTAAAAATGTGTCTTATACAAATTTTTTGTTCTTAATTGGGTGAAATAGAAAATGATAGTTAAGCAAGCTTCATCAAATCACTTTAAAATGTATATAAATATCACAGCTCTGTCCTAACAGAACAGTTTTAACTGTCAGGACCCGTGCTAAGGAAGGGTGGGGGCAAGATCTCCAGGTGACTAATAGTCTGTATGACTAAAATGCCAGGCAAGATTTTTCAGATCCTAGGGTGTACCCAGGGAAGGAAGATAAAACTACATGAATGCCCAGTCTGTTGGAATAAGATAGGGGTTGCCTTTTCTCTCCAAACCCTCTGTAATGAAGCTGGTGTCAATTAACGTCCACAGTGACCAACCTGTAGGTCACTTTGTTCTGCAGTGCAACCAGGAAAGAGCAAATGTTGACCACAGCACTCAGGTGTTTTAGCTGCAGGAGCCAAACGGCCTAAAACAAAATGATTGTGTTTCCATTTAAGTTCTTAAACAGGGACTGATTGAGTTAGCAATAAGAAAATTTTATTGCACATAAAATGTTTATTTTTAAACTTTGAAGGTATCTTCTAATAAATAGCAGATTTTTTTTTAGTTTGAGTTTAATGTACATCTTTTTTTTGAGCTATGAATTTATTACAAACTGGAATATTTGATTTTATATCTTATACCACATTGTTTTTGTTTTTTTTTTAATTCTAAGACTTTACTCTGATCAATCTGGGTTTTGGGGGTTTTTTTTGTTTGTTTTGTCTTTGCTGTTGGTTGAACTGTTGGTTGTTCTCTAATTGTGAGGGGAAAAGTAGTGAAGTGTACTCACCTACAAGAGACTTGAGTTTTTAACAAGGAATAACTGGTAGTAAAACTTAACTTCTGGTTCAAACAGTGAACTAGTTAAAACTTGAAAAACACTTGATTTACTCATAAGGACTTTTGAGAGCAAGCATATTCATGAGTGGTTTACTTTATTGGCTTTTAGAGTCTTGATCAATTTCACCTCCACTTAGCATCTCCTCTGCGTGTCCACTGCTGAGGGTCCTTCCCCAGAGGCCTCGATGGTTTAGTGGAGGGACCCACACAGGGGCCCCGGGGCAGGAGGTGCCCAGGGGCTGAGTCTGGGAAGGTGTGGGAAAGCGAGCGAGCAGGGGGCCTGATGCCTCCTGGGGCCAGGAGGGGGCCCGGCAGCCCTGGGGCTCACCTCCGACTCCGCTCCCCCATGCATTTAGAGAAGAGGGGTCGTCCCCACAGAGGGAGAAGAACAGCAATTCATTTTAAAATAGAAAGTTTAGCTGTTTGTAGAACCTTTTGCCACAGGATTGTAGAAATAGCAGTTTTTTTTCCCCCAGCATCTTATCAATATCCATCTGTTTCACTGGCCTTCGATGGATGAGTTTTGGGACCTAGGATTCATTTCTTCATTCATTTTGCAAATACTTGAGTCCCTATCACCTTGTGCCAAGCAGGTTCCTAATTCAGAGTATGAAGCAAGCACCGCAGCCCAGCTTTCAGAGCTTACGGTCCATAAACAACGCAGTTCCTGAACTGGTTAGTAACCCCAGTTGGCTTGACACTCATCTCCTATTACATAGCCTAGAGTTTGTGGTTAATGTAGTGAATTAGCATGTCCTAAGAAGTGTGACAGGAACGTGCTGTTGAAACTTAGCTTAAACTTTTCTGTCTGGAGAAGGAGAGGTGTCACCTGGAACTTGGTGGCTGTAAGTTTAGCTTGATGACTTAAATCCTGTCCTCCCAGGGCCGGCCAGGAGAACTGTCTGTGGCGGCGGGAATGTCCTCTGTGCTGTCCACCACAGCTGCCCTCGGTCACAGGTGACTGCTGAGCCCTCAGAATGTGGCTAGTGCGCTGAGACGCGGAGTGGTTAATTTTATTTTGTTTTGGCTATTTGACATTTAAACAGACACGTGTCTAGTGGCTATTGTATTGGACAGCACAGTTCTAGACTGGGATCGACAGACTCTTTCAGGAAAAGCTGGAGAGTCAATGTTTTTGGCCGAGGAAGCAGCCACAGATAGGAATGACCATGTTCCAATAAAGCTTTATTTACAAAAACAGCGGGCTGGCCAGATTTGGCCCTTGGGACATAGTTTGCCTCCCCCAGCCCCCAACCCCGCCACCAGTCAAGACCATTCCTTGAATTTTAATTGCCGGTCAAGCACAGTAAGGTGTCTGTCACTTCCAGAGCCAGGTTTAAGGCAAGAATAGCCGTGCCAAAAAAGATGCTGATGGTCAGAGAGGAAGACCTGCTCTCCATCTGGGTCCAGCTGGCTTTTATTCCGGCCTCAGGAAGGCCATTTCGTGCTCTGATCTGGGGGTTGGTCAGCGAGTCCAGTCTCTGAAAGACTGATGGGTCGCCGAGGCCTGGTGGGGGGCTGGGGAGCGAATTGTTCTTTTTGTGTAGACCCCTTTTTCTTGGGGAATGGAAGTTTGATTGTCGGAAAAGTTTGTCTTCTCACAAGTATTCCTGAGTCACCGATTCAAGGAAAGGTTTTTACCGTTCCGATAGAAACTTGGAGGAGAATGATCCGGGGCAGTGTGGAGGTCAAGGCCCAGGGCTTCCTTTCTGCCTCAGCCCACCTGATGACTTAGCCCATGCCGCTGAGCCCCGCTGTGTACACGGGCCGCTCCTTCGTGACTGAAGTCTGTAAACGTCGTGAGGGCGGCTGCCCCGCACTGTCCTCATCCCCCAGGATTAGGAAGGAAATCGGGTCTGTGACTACCAAAAATGGAGTAAGTAAGTAAGTAAGTAAAGTCGCTCAGTCATGTCCGACTCTTTGCGACTCCATGGACTGTAGCCTACCAGGCTCCTCAGTCCATGGGATTTTCCAGGCAAGAGTACTGGAGTGGGTTGCCATTTCCTTCACCGAAAATGCAAGCCCCCCTCAAAAGACCACACCAGCCACTCTCTCTCCAGAGAGAGAGAACCAGACCCCGGGTGCTTACTGCACAGCTGTCCCTCTCTGTGAAGCGACTTTTTAGAAGGACACCTTGAAAGCTAGCTGGAGTGAGCCTCTACGTAAAGCCTCTCCGTAATTCCTGCCAGCGAGGAACCTAACCAGAGTAACAAAGAGCTCTCTGAGGGGCGGTGTGTGTTTATGTAAAGCCCGCGCACCTTTTGTTAATTAGTTTTCTCTGAACTGATCATATTTTTTTCATTAAAAGATGCTAATTATGTAGAAGAATGAGGAGGTATGGTCAGTAGCCAGGAAAAAGGGTGTTTTGCATCTAGGAACGGTCCGAGTCCTCCCAGGCACAGCGTTTGGGGTGCACCTCACTCCATTTCCATACGTCAGGTGGCCCCACAGGGCGGTTCTCCCCCAGGCCAACAGTGACCTGCCAGATGTGACGAGCTTTTGTGAACACTGACTTGTTCCTTCCAGCACTGCTGCCTGGGAGGCGGCTGCGACGTCCTTGACACTCTTCCCCAAGGTCAGCAGCCTGTACGTCCCAAGTCCAGCGACCTGCCCCTCCGCCAGCTCTGCTCCCCAGACCACTGCTGGTGGCTGTCCCAGAGGAAACAGCCACGTGTATCATCTTCTGGTATTTCCTTTTGGCCTTTTTTGGAGACCCAACTAGAGCAATCTTTGGTGGGGCTCTGGATTTCCAAGTGATCAGATAGGACAAGGCACCCTTCCATCAGCTTGGGTCCTGGCCATGCAGAAACTGGCTCAGGCCAGTGCAGGCAGCGGCACGCAGAACCCTGCCTCATCTTCCCCCGTCTGCTTCCAGACAAGGCCCACCTCACCTCCTCTTCTCTGTCAGATGGAAAAGGACCATCAAGGATGCGGAAAACTCCCAAGACTGGGCTAGTTTCTCTCACTAATGTACTTAAGGAAAAGTCTTGCTTATTCATCTTGGAGAGACATTGGTTCACATGTGCAAGGACAAACTACAACAGCCAGAAAAGTCTGGTTTTGTTTTAGGCCCTTGAATTATTCATAAATCAAAAACCCTTCTAGTTGAAAAGAAAAACACAAGAGATGTAACAGTCGAACATAGTGAGTGACTATCAGATCTTTGTTCTAAAGACAAAACAAAATCAAACCTGCAGAAGACATTCATGTGGCTATTGGGGAAAGTTGAGTAGAGTGATGTGGAATTTTCTATGGAGTTACTGTTAGTTTTAAAGGGATTCTGATTTGTAGGAACTTTCCTCATCCTTAGGAATTGCAGATGGAAGTATTTAAATATGGGTGAAGTATCATGATCTCTGCACCTTACTTCCAACAACGAAGAGAAAAGTAACTGCAGAGCAAATATGCTCATATCCCTGGCTGTTGACTCTAGGGAAGTGGGTATATAGGTATACAGGTGAATGCACGTATTCGCCTTCCATGTAGGTTTAAACTTCTTCATGATGTTTGAAAAGTCTTTAAAATGTTCCGCTTTAGAAAAAAATGTGCAAAGGACATGTAATTACTTAGAAATTGTTTCCTAAGTAGTGAGCAATGGTCTTTCCTATTCAAGTTTCGGCCTTTCTTCTGTTTTTCGTTTTACTCCCTTACTAACAAATGAGTGGCCGGTGGTGAAATGGGAAGGCAGGGGCTTGGTCATCTCGGGTGGTGGGGTTGAGACCCTGTAGCCCTGTGCCTCGTGGGTGGGTCCCCTGGTTTCTGACTCGTGGAGGCTGCAGAGACAGCCGCACCATCTTACCGAACAGTGTTTTGCTGAGTGTGCACCTTTTTTTTTTTAATGTTTATTGGCATTTTTATTGGTCTTTTAAAATGTAACAGTATAAAGCACACTCTCAGGTAAAAGCAAAGTTCCCTCTGAACTTGACAGGCGGGGTGCTCAGTGGTTAAAGGCAGGGGTTCAGAAGTCACAGGGCCGAGGTCCCCGCCCCACCGCGGGTTAGCTGAGCCATCTCAGGCAAGCTCACTCACTTCCCTGCCAGAAATGGGAAAGAGATGGGGGGGAGGTGTCAAAGGATCTGCCTCTCTGGATTTTATGAGGGTTAGTTAAATGAGTGAATACATATGAGACACTTAGCGTGGTGCCTGGAGCACTGTGAGACCATGGGCCATGTTCGTGGTCGCCGCGGTTATCATCTCTTTTCTAGGTCATGGTGGTAATTGAGAGCCCAGCGCCTTAACCACAGCTTGTGTTATTTTTCTGCCAGTTGCCTGTATCTCTTCCTCTATCTGCTCTCTCCCTCCCCCGTTTACCAAGCCTCTCTTCCTGCAATTTTCACCACCTGGGGGAAGTCGGTATCCCTGATGATCCTGGAGTATGTGCCGTGTTCTGCTTGTAGATCGTGTACAGAAATGCTTCATCGGGTGGCCCTCGGATCATCATCAGCCACTCTGTTCAGCGTGTACTGATGACCCATTCAGACCTCTCGCTCTCAGGGGTCCAGCCTGTAACAAGAAATCAGCATTTACTACAGTCCTCTCCTCACCCCAATTTTAACTCTTTTGAAGAAAGCCAGCTTAGCATAAGATTTATGAAGAAGTCTCCTTTAAGAAGTTAGAGATTCTTTTCTGTAGTTAGTCCCAAATAGGATGACTTCGCTTGTCATTTCCCGTTCGTTTTTTAAAAGCAGATGTTGCTTTCTGATGCTTTAGTAATTTGACTTCCAAAAGTTTACTGTCATATGGTCAAATCCCATTATGTTAGAATTCCTGAATTCCTTTTTTGTGTCGGGATTTTTAAACTAGGATAGTATTTAATGGGACCTCCCTAAGTGGTCCCGTGGTTAAGGCTCCGAGCTTCCAATGCACGGGACACAGATTCAGTCCCTGGGAACTATTGGGTTGGCTAGAAAGTTCCTTCAATTTTCAGGTTAAAAATAAACCTGTCATTTTTACCACAAACTTTATTGAACAACTCATTTTGTTCCACTGCCTTCTGCCATTTTTCAGGCAACTTCATAGTTCCATCTTCCCAAAACTTTTTATCTTTTTGAGCAGAAAACTGTTCCAGGTGCCTTTTACAGTCTTTCAGGGAATTGAAATTTTTCCCATTAAGAGAATTTTGTAAAGGTTGAAATAAACAGAACATCCAAAGGTGCAGTGTCTGGTTAACACGGCCGGTGAATCAGAACTCCAGCCAAGCTGTAACAATTTTTGCCTGATCGTCACAGCGACGTGTAGTCTTGTTGCGTTATCCTCATGGAAGACAAAGATGCATTTTCTATTGACTAATTCCAGACACTTTTCGTGTCAAGTGCTGCGTTCAGTTAGTCTCACGGGGAGCAATACCTGTTGGAATCCATCATTTGGTTTTCCAGAAGGAGCTCATACTAGAGGACTCCCTTCCAATTCCACCATGTACACAATATCACTTTCTTTGAGTGAAGACCGGTGCCTTTGGGGTGGTTCATGGTGGCTCATTTCACTTGCCCTGCTAACTCTTCCACTCCACATTATTACACAGCATCCACTTTTCATCACCTGTCACAATTTGTTTTAAAAACAGAACATTTTTTGTGATGTTTAAGCAGAGTCACATAAGGAAATATGGTCAAGGTTCCCCCCACCCTTTACTTACATGGAACCCAAACATCAAAGCAATTAACATAACCAAGCTGGTGCAAATGATTTTCAGTGCTTGATTTGGATATTTTGAGTATGTCGGCTATCTCCTGTGGCATATAACATTGATTGTTCTCAATTAATTTCTCAATTTGATCAGTATCAACTTCAACTGGTCTACCTGACCGAGGAGCATTGTCCAGCGAGAAACCTCCAGCCTCCATTGTCACAGCACCTTCTCCATACACTGCACAAATCTTTTTTTTTGCATTTCAGTTGCCGTTTTTACCTTTCTTGAAATAAAAAGCATAATATGCTGAAAATGTTGCTTTTTTTTCTTCCATCTTCAATGGCTGCTACAAATGGCTACACAATCCACCAGTTTTGATGTTCAGGTTTTTTTTAACTCATGCTGATATGACATCTGTCACAATACAATTTAATGAAATTGTTTCAAATGAAGTAAAAGACAACTAAGTGCTACAAGAAGCATCTTATGGAAAAAAAACAAAGAAATTTTTTGGCCAATCCACATGCCATGCACCGCCGCCCCCCCCCCCCCCGAAAAAAAAGATAGTATTTGAACCAGCTGAGATCCAAACTATAACCTTATACCTTACTGTTTCAAGTTTTAATATTGTAGTATTTCTAACAGAACTTTAGTTGTTACACCTGTTTGATTGACCTTTTCAGTCTCCGCTTTGTCATTCATGCATGTGAACTTCGTTTGAATTTTTGTCTGCTTGTGTTATTCACTGGCAATGCGTTCTATTACGGTAGTTCACCTTATAAAGTTTTGAGAATAGTCATGTTTCCTAAGGAACAAGCCCAGTTTTCCTAAATTGCTGGTCCTTTATGCTTGGGAGCTTCAAGGAGGAGGAAGAGGTGGGGACGGGGGAGGCGCTGTGTATGTTTGTAGACCATTTTGGCATGTATACAACTAGAAGTTGTTCTTCCCTCCTTCTGGTAGTAGGCCAGGCTTCTCCAGGGGTGGCATATGACAACGTCGTATTCACAGCTCGGAAGGTGTCCTCAGTGTCTGCATAAGGCAGTGGCCTGTGGGCCCCTGGAGTCCCTGAGATACTTCCAAGGGAGCTGCAAGGTCACAGTGGTCTTCAGTATTGTAGGCAGATTCTTCTACCCTCTGAGCCACCAGGGACGCCCTTTCTCAAGAATACGACGGCCTTTCTTTTTGCCTCTTTCGCTGTGTGGCCACTTGCCCTGATGGTGCAAAGGCAGCGGTGGGTGAAATAGCTCCTTTCGCGGAGCAGGCCGTGGTGTCCAGCTGGAGACACCACGCAGCCCCCCAGGTCACATGAGTCTGACCCAGGACTACCCTTGATGAAGCAGGAAATGGTTAGTTTCACTAGCTCTCAGCCTTTGCTCACACACCTTTTAATACCATTCTGCGGGTGACCGCTCACCTGGCGACCGCAGGCACGCTGCGGAGCTGAGATGGTCTCCAGGGACACTGCACAGTTGTGTGAGTTGCAAGCTGAACTGGCCACTTTTTTCAGGAACATTATTTTACTTGAAAGAAGAAGAGACAGACATATTGGGTTAGTAAAACCTGAATATTTGACACATGCTTTCTCGAAAGTGAAGTGAAAGTGAAAGTCGCTCAGTCGAGTCGGACTCTTTGCGAACCCATGGACTATACAGTCCATGGAATCCTCCAGGTCAGAATACTGGAGTGGGTAGCCTTTCCCTCCTCCAGGGGATCTTCCCAACCCAGGGATCAGACCCAGGTCTCCCACATTGCAGGCGGGTTCTTTACTAGCTGAACCACCAGAGAAGCCCATTCTTGAAAAGGAATGAAGGAGTTCTGTCAGTTCAGGGAACAACAGTGACACTATTAGTTGCCCATGATAAAATTCGAACTTGTAAGCAAAAATTTGAATTTTGGGAAACTGCCAGCGTGAGCTTGACAGCTCCCAGTGCTGAAGACTTATGATACTAACAAACGGGGCTTCTTGATCTGAATGACGGAAGAGCTGCATGACTGCACACCAACATGTTCAGAGATGCTGCAAACATGCGTGGGCAGGAGAGACATTCAAAGTGCAGGACACACCACGGAGTTTGATGTCACTGAAACGTCATCAGTATGGTTTCAGATTCCACGTTGCAGCTAAGCTTTCAGAAACTACCGCTTGTTGAACATTAGCATAGACTCAAAGAAGAATAACCACAGTTTTTTTTAAAGTCATTGAAATACCTCCCTTTTCCAGCTAAACATGTGGTTGAAGGCTGGGCTTCTTTTTTGTATACTTCAACCAAAATAGCGTATCAGACAACAGTATAGAAGCAGAAATGCAGGTCTACCTGTCTTCTATTAAGTCAAACTTTATAAAGAGATAAGCAAAAATATAAAACAGTGTCACTTTTCTTGCTATTTTTTAATACAGTTATTGTCATGATAATATTTCAGCTAACATGAAATGAGCCTGTTACCTTAAGTGAATCAGTCAGTACAGTTTTAAACCCTCTCTAATCTGGTATCAGTAAGCAGAATCCATGTGATCCACACTCTTCAGGGTCCTCCAGACTGTTTTTAGAGGACCTGATTCTGACACCAAAAACAATTGAAAACCCTCGGCCCAGGAAAGCTCTGTAGCATGAGCTGGACTTGCTGGACCCTGTTTTTACCAAGCCTCTGTATTTTTTTCTCCTCTTCTCTTAACACAAAAAAATTTCCAGATTAACTAGTTAGCTAATAATGTATATAGGTCTCCCAGGCCACAGTGGGAGCCAATAACTGTGCCCAGCTTGTGGGTAGTGGAGTCACCCCAGGACTGGCCTTCTCTTTTGGCATTACTTGGCTCCCTTTTATCTTTTTCTGATCTTTTTAAAAATCCATATGTGAATATAGCCACTTTGAAATTTTTTTTGAATTGGAAATAAAACTAAAATTATCCCTAGCCTTATCCCCAAAATGAGTCTCCTACCTTCTCTGGCATCTCAGAGCAAATTGTTTGGAGTTTGCTGTATATCATTTTACGCGTTTGTGTGTGTGTGTGTATTCACACTAAGTAATGTAAATGTGGATTTATCTACTGACTGGAAGTATATAGTATTTTTTGTTTTCTGTTTTTTTGTGGATTTTTTTTTTCCCGGCACCTCGCGGCTTGTGGATTCTCCGACCAGAGATTGAACCCCGGCCCTCGGCAGTGAAAGTGCCCAGTCCTGACGGCTGGACCACCAGGGAATTCCCTGGGGTTTTTTTTTTTTTCTTAAGACAAAAAAGCTAGCATGACAGTAGTTTGGGAAAACTAAACCTTATACAAGGTTTTAACGTGTTGATAGCTTTGTGAACTAATTCCTGATGCTCTTAGCTAAATGTGATATTGTAGTATCCTGAATTGCGCTGTGTATACATACACCACACAAGCTCTTAAAGTGCGGTCCCGCACTTCTCTGCGGATTCGGTTTAAACCCTGGGACAAGGTGGGCGTCTGGCAGGAGGCTGCAGCGAGTGGAGCGTCTGCCTGGTGCCCGGGCCGTCCCAGGGGCGATCCCGGGCGCTGGCAGCACACAGCCAGGCGGCACAGAGGCCCCGTGCCCGTTGTGCAGAGGTCCAGAGGGAGTGTCCGCGAGCAGACCTGGCCAGGCAGTGGGCGACGAGGCCCGTCTGGCTGGAGCTGGGCCGCCTCTCCCACACCTCCCGGCTGGAAACGTGACCCCTTCTCTCTGCTTGAGGCCTGGTCCCCCGGAGTCATCTTACCTGAGAGAACACCACTGACCCTCCTTTGCCTGCTTTTTAGAATATTTTCCTAGATGTTGAAAACACTGGGGTCTTGTCAGTTTAGTGGACCCCCTTCCTAAATTAGACCCAGTCATGCCGCAGTCGAGCTATCGGATTCAAGGCTAAGGCCTAACCGTGTGTCTTACGGGGTGACTGGGGTCCCTGACTTGTCTCCAGACCTTCCTGAGTCTGTGAATGTGCTATATTTTTAAATGTGTTTGATTAAATTACTTGTTTTTCAAGGGAATTGAAAGAAAAGAGCTGAGATTCAAATTCTAGCCTCCTGTCCCTGAGGACAGAAGCCCGTGATGAGAATAAGCAGATTGCTCCTTTTATCCTTAAGAGAAATGCTATGCTAGTAGAAAACTTGAGTGACTGGTTTTTTGGTTTTTTCTTTTTTTAATGACTTTAATAAATTTTAAAACATTATCTCTTTGCAATAAAGTCACAAGTGACATTTTATTGAAGAAGCATTATTCATCTTAAACAAAGGTTAACTTAAGTTTACACTTTAAGCCAAAGTTAAACTTGCAAAGTCCTGAAGTCTTTTTGCTTATCTTCTTCCTCTCTGCCTGCTTCTTCCCCTTGAGCACTCCTTTCTTATTTTGTCTCATTTATTCTTCAGATGAGGCCGTCAGATCTTGAAACTGACCTTTTCTAAGGCATGTAACTTTCCTTGGGTTGACTTTTCTTATTCAAATAATAAAGTGTCAGTGGATATGAATTCTGGATTTTTCACTTCTAAGTTTTGTGCACCACTTAAATATAAATTTTCAAATATTGATCTTGAATTTTGGCATTTAATTTGATATGCGTTGCAGCTGTCAGTACCCAATTAAATAAACATGATTGTCCCATCTACCTGGATTGGGAAAACACCTTTTGGGAGTGTACGCGCATGTATGTGCTCACATGTGTCTTTAAAGCCAAATACCAACTTAGTTCAGTCTCTAGTCTTGTTGTTTAGTATATTGGCTTAATCACATACTTATTTGAGCCTTTCTTCGTTTTAAAAAAGGAGGAGAGCCCTTAAGTGAAATGTAAGCTAAACCAGGATTATAATTGTAACACTACATCAATGTTAAAAAAATATAAAGGGACACTTAAGAAGCATATTCAGTAATGTGTTCTTTGCCAGGAAACAGGGACTTTTCAGCCAGTTACTCGTCTTGACTGTGACATCCATAGTAACTCAGACATGCCACCCAGATAAATATTTAGACGGGTTAGGAGTCTGCAGAACTGAGGCAGGGCAGCGCCAGGGCTGATGCAGCTCGGGCGTTGGCCATCCCAGCGCGTGGCCCTGCATCCTGTCTGGTATACCAAGCACTGCCATCATCCATTTCTTGTAGGGCTTTTTGAAATTGTATGGCCTAGAGAGAAATTGTTTAGGAAGGCCAGCTTACTCAGGGCAGTTCATCCTCCTGTGTGATACCCAGAGGCCGGTGGAGGCTGTGGTTGTCTGTCATTAGCGCCCAGGAACCTTTTTCATCTTCAGAGCACCTTGCAGGTGTTCATTAACCATCCTCTCTCTCCTACGAGGCAGCAAACAGGTTTTATTAGTCCCACTTTTACAGTTGTGGAAGCCAAAGCAGAGAGGTTCCCGGACTTGCCCGAGGTCAGAAGGACGAGCTCCTGGGTTTTCTGAGTCACGATCCGGGCCCACACCCCTCTGATGTGCACACTGCTGCTCTCTCAGCCCCTTTATCACAGAGATCTGGCAGCGCGGTGCTTTCTGCCCTCAGCTGCTCACAGGGGTGTCGAGTGCCGTGCAGCTGGAAGCAGGTTAGTTGATCTTATGGTGTCATCTAGAAAAGCAAGAGATGCAGATTCTGGGTCTTGAAGGTAAGGGCCGTGCCTCGGGGGTTTGTGGGTATGGATGAAATTAACTGAGTGGAGCCTTAAAGCGCATCCGCTTGCCCTTAGCATAACCTGGAAGCACCTGTTGATGAAACACAGTCTCCGGGACTGCTTTCCACTTGGTCCAAGGACCTTGCACATCCCAAGAGATATATGTCAAAGCTGTGTTTTCACCATAGCTAACAAGAGTATTTCAATGCTGAACATAAACTTACTACTGCTAAAGATTCCTCATGAGTGATCTTAGAATTTAGAACAAAGTAAGATATATTGTTCTATTGTAATAGAATTTGGAGCTTTCAAGGCGGTAGGGAGGAGAGACATTCTTTATCTGAAAACTGGCTGTTGTAGTGTAAGCATTTGTCCAAGGGGAAACAGTAGAAAAGACAACTGCTTTTGGATGATGTATACAATTGAGAGGATGTTTGCATTTTAAAAATAGTTCTTTAAAAGCCAGTGAACTCATTTTCCTGATCTTCATAAAGCTCTGAGATGTTTCCTTCCTCATTCTTTGCTCCGAGAAATCTGTGCACGTGCTCTTGTTGAATTCAGCATTGGTAGTTTTGCAGCCCTACAGCCTTCATTGTGCCAGATAAGGTTAAAATTAAGACCCCCAAATTTTTAGTCCCCCAGGTTTGTTTTGATGGGCAGGAAAACTTGATGGAATACAGAGAACAAAATTTAGTTGTGACCTTCTGCCTTCTGGCCCCCTAAAGCTTTGTTCCCTTTCCCAAACAAATATTTATAAATCACCACCCTGGTGGTCGGCACTGCTGGGCGCCTTCAGGTTGGCACCGAGGAGGAGAGAGTGGTCTGGCTGGGTGGGGTGGGGTCAGGGAGGCCTCACCGAAGTCATCCGGTGGTCCCCTGGCGCTGGCAGGGACCAGGGGTGACTCGTTCAGCAAATCAGGGAGTGTGCTGTGATGGGTGTGGTGAGAGAAACGCCGGAAAAGGGTTTTTGTCAAGTCAGCAGCATCTCTTTGTGGACCAGAAGTGGAGACCGTCAGGGAGCTGGGAGTGAGGAGGCTGAGCTGCAGACCATGGCTGTCACGCAGGAAGGGAGGGCCCCCGTTGCTTAACGCGGTGAACCTCAAAGCCACGCGAGAAGCTGATGCCTCTGGTGGGGAAATGCCCGGGTTGTCACTGTGCGTGTGTGTGCGCACGCGCGTGTGTGTACACTGTAAACATATTCCTATTCAAAAAAGTCAAAGGGAGACAAAGCATTGACGTGGAGGGCATGTGTGGCTACCCATCTGTCCGTGTTCCTGTGCTGTGCTCCTAGCTGACTAGCTGGAACACGGTGTGGAAAGGCCACCGTCACGGACTTGGATTTGAGACGTGACCAGAGGTTCACTTGGCCAGCTCTGGCCCAGCCCGTTGACGTCCACGACCTCACTGCAGAGCCCAGGATGCAGGAAGGCTCTCAGTCACCTCCACTTCCTAACCAGGGCCTCGCTCTCACTGTCCAATTCTGGTTGAACTGACCTTTCCCCGTTGCCTTTCACTTTGTCACGTGGACCAGTTTTGCTGTATTTCAGCTGTCGTCACAGTGCGGTCAGCCCTCTCCCTTTCTTGCATGTGAGTGGTAAGGCTGTCAAAGCCAGATCTGCTGGAAACCCAGTTGCAGCATCGTCTTCAGCAGAGAGGGTTTGCAGAAATTTCCAGGGCAGGAGGGAAAATTTAAGAAGGAGGTTGGAGAAGATGAGGCCAAATGGCTTTGGGCTTCCTGATGGCACAAGAGGGGAGCCCTCTGCAGAAAACTGAGGGGAGTGTGGAGACCTGGCAGAGGGGGGAAGGGTCGAGGCCGAGGGGGAGTTGACGCGGTGGGTGAGGTGTGGCCAGCCTCCAGGGAGCAGACCCTGCTGGTGACTATGATCACGATCCCTCAGCAGAGACATGCTCTATAGACACTCTTTCCCAGTCTGTGGGTTCTCTTTTCACTTTCTTGATGCTCTTGTTTGCAGCAGAAGAGTTTTTAATATGGATGCAATCCAGTCTATCTAATGTGTCTCTTGTTGCTTTTGATTTTTGGTGCCATTTTTGAGAAATCATTGCCTAATCCAGAGATACACTCTTGTGTTTTCCTCGAAAAGTTGTACCACCTTAGTTCTTTCACTTGGTCTTTGATCCACTTTGAGTTAATTTTTGTGCGTGGTGTTAGGTAAGGGTCCACCTTTGTTCTCTTGCATGTGGCTATCCAGTTTTCCCAGTGCCATTTATTGAAAGGGCTGTTCTTTCCCCACTGAATGGACTTGGCACGCTTGTGGAAAATCAGTGGACCGTAAATGTGAGGATTTATTTCTGGACTCTATTCTGTTCCATTGCTCTATATGTCTGTACCAGAGTCTTGATTCCTGTAGCTCTGTTGGAAGTTTTAAAATCAGGAAATGGGAGTCCTCCAGCTTTGTTCTTCTTTTTCCAAACTGTTTTGTATTCTGGGTTCCTTGCATTTCCACGTAGTTCTTAGGGCCAGTTTGTCAGCTCTCCTGGCCTCTCTCAGTAGTCTTGTCTGGGCGAGCCTTGGTTAGGTCAGGACAGTGCACTCCACACTCTGCCTGGAAGCTCCTCTGACTGGGGGAGAAACCTGCTCTTGTTGGGAGTCTGGGACCATGTCCTGTTCTGGTCTAGTTCAGTTCAGTTCAGTCGCGTCCGACTCTTTGCGACCCCATGGACCACAGCACACCAGGCCTCCCTGTCCACCACCAACTCCCGGAGTTGACTCAAACTCATGTTCATTGAGTTGGGGATGCCATCCAGCCATCTCATCCTCTGTCGTCCCCTTCTCCTCCTGCCTTCAGTCTTTCCCAGCATCAGGGGCTTTTCCAGTGAGTCAGCTCTGGTCTAGTAAGAGCCCCCAGAATGTTTGTCTCTGAAGTCTTGGGTCTTGTTACAGAAAGCTATTTCAATTTTGTATCCTGTTTATAATTATCATAGTTTAATATAAAGATGTTTGACGTGATTTTAACTGCTTTTTAAGACGGATATTCCAGGAAGTGTGTCGTGTTTATCCTGTGGTCTTGTGCACACATCCCTGCCCCCCCTCAGATCACATGCCCCAGTTTAAAAGGCCGAGTTGCAGGAAGCCTGCCCAGTAGAGCTTTTGTGTTTGTAAAGGTTGTTTCCTTGACTGTCTGCTTCTCAGTCGCCTGTGCAGACCCCAGGCTGGCGTCCGTCCACCTGGCTGAGGTGGAGCCACCTGATTGTCAGCGTGTTGGTGTCTCCTCAAGGCTGCCACCCATTTCTCTTGAGTCTTGAGGCAGGTTTAGACCTTGTCGATCTTGGCCATCAAACAGATTCCCGCAGGGTGCAATCCATTCCATTCCCTAAGTTATCCTTTCTTGGAAGGTCAAGTGCTCTGCCAGGAGCACCCTCCTTCGTTTATGTAGATTCAGGTGTATTGACGGTGCCGGCCCGGGAATAGTCATTTCCAAAGGCCTGTGCAGCTCTGTGACAAGGCTTCTGCCTGTCCAGGCAGAGATAAAGGTGATGTAGTGTGGAGTTTTCACACAGCTAAACTAATTCAGTTTACAGGCCTCTCCTTTAGTCTAAGATTGTCCTTTTTGGTATTAAAATGTCTTTAATGATTTTTCTAAGAATGTTCCTATTTGTCAGTTAGGGTGGTAAGCCAATGTCAGTCTTTAATATTCCTTGTGAAATTTTATTGATCTGCGAAATCAAACTTCAGAACATCGCTTTAAGCCACAAATCTCCAACTTATGCCTTGTTTACATTCGGAATTACCACATAATATTTCAGACAATTTATGTAACTTAAAAGCCCATTTTTAATTTCCTTTATATTTCCAGAAGAGGCAAATCCAGGGAGACAGAAAGCAGGTTAGTGGTGGCCAGGGGCTGGGGGAGGGAGTTCTTCTAGGGTGAGGAAGAAGTCTTGAAACCAGAGAGGGGTGATTGCACAACGCTGTGAATGCACTAAATGCCACTGAACTATGTACTTTAAAATTAATTGTAGGTTATGTGAATTTTTCCTCAGTTTTTTTTAAAGTCGTTTTATTCAATGTTGTAATTATATATGAGCCGGAAGGTGGGAGGGGGGTGTGTCGGGGTTATATGAATCCAGGTGAGCACAGGATGTGTGCTTACGCACGCCGGTATATATTATTAATTTGTGTCTCTAAGCATTATCATTAGAAGCTAACCATATCGACAGACTTTCTGCTTTGGGACAGCAAAAAAGTTGGTTTTAAGACTGAAACTCAAAGATATCCTTTAGTCTCACCTCACAACATACATCCACCAGCTTCTCACAACCTTTCGCCCTGGGAAGTTGAGGTTTCGGGCTCGCCATGAGGAGAAATCGGAATAAAGTTTCTCCTGCTGCTCTGTCGGTAGCTCTGTGCTGGCGTTTACTGGGACGCCAGCCACCAGGCTGGAGGCTGTCCGTGACGTCCTGTCCTGTAACCCTTGAGAGGGGAACGTGAAATTTGTCCTCCCCTGCCCCCAAAACAGAATGGAGAGAAAAGGTCCTACATTATTTTTAAGTGAAGAACCTTTGTTACAAATTCCAAGCACAGCATTGTTGTGTTTAGACTTTCTTTCCTTGCTGCTTCCAGAAGGAAACCCACGGAAAGCCCACAGAGGCGCTGGGCTGGGGCCACACTGGACTTGGGGTTCTGGGGGGACGGGAATACTCACCACAGTTCAGGCTCCTTAGTTTCCTGAAGTAACAGAGCTTCAGAATCTCTTATAATCCATCCATAAAGGTGGAATTTTTTTTTTTTTTTTTTTAGGAAGGTGATTTTTCCTCTTACCTTTGACTTTATGTTTGTAAATGTGTTGAGTTTTGGCAGTGTTTAAATGGCTTCCGTGCCTCGAGCCTGCTCGCAGCGGGGCCGTCCCGAGCACACGGGTCTTGGCGGGAGGGAGTCAGACATGGCTCCACAGCAGTCTGCTCCCCTGCGGCCCTCAGACCGTGCCTTCCAGCCGTGTTTCCTCACAGGCTGCTGGCAGCTCAGTCCCCCCTTGTTGTTTCGTGGTTCTTGTCAGTTTCATTTTCTCCTTTGCAGCGTCGAAATTGTACTGGAAACTGAACACTGGTTTAGCGTCCATAGTGACAGAAAAAAAGAGAGAACTTTCTGAAGTCATTTCCATTTTGTCCACAGCTGATTGCTCAGCGTTCTTGTCTGTTAAGAGCCAGAACCAAAATGAGGGTACGCAGGGTGTCATCTGGACCTCAGATTCTGTATCATTTCGTGAAAAAAAGTTCCACTTTTGTAAAGAAAACACCT